AGGACCTTTTTGCTTTGATCATCACCCTGCAACACAGCTACCTATTGTGCCACCTCATTTTCAAGAACTGCAGCCCCTGTTGTCACCCCAGAGAGTCAACGACCGACCAATCTTAAGTAAAGGTTTGAGCCTGAGCCAGTGTAAATCAGGTGGCTCGGTCTGAACAAAGCCTGGGAATCAGTGCAAGAGCCATCCATCCATCCATTTTCCTCCACTTATCCGGGACGGGGTTGCGGGGGCAGCAGTCTAAGCAAAGATGCCCAGACTTCCCTCTCTCCAGACACTTGAAGGCAGTGCAAGAGCATCAACTCTTATTAAATCAACTTTAAGTCATATTAGGCTGAGAAAAGTATCAAATACAGTGGAAGGTACTCTCTTCACAAGCCAGTATTTTTTGACTCAAAAGATTATTTGATGACCACAACAGTTGTGGATGCGCCTTCTTATTTTGATTTATTATAAGCCAACACCAGAGGTGCAACTAACAGTGTTATTCATTATCGATTAATCTGACGGCTACCTTTTCTGCAGTCCATCAAATCAAAACCAGTGAGGACAAGAACTGGCCTGAGCCCAAGGCGACTAATGTTCCACACTGCCAGACATTCAGTTCATTTAAAGCAGAGAAAAGTTGCAACTCTTCACATTTAAGAGACTTGTGGTGGTTAAATCAATGCACAGAGAAAATTACTGCAGTGCCAAGAATCATTTATTGAACAATATTATTGAAATATGATTGAGAGGGCAGGATACAGGATCACCTTGTTAGTTTTTAGTCTTAGTCTCTCTGCAGAGGAAGTCAGGTAGTCTGCCACACGTCTTCTCTTCTCCCTGGGTCTTCACGCACACGTGCGCCTGACCAACTCTGTTGCCAAGTTTATTCGCATCTCTCACTTCCTGTCATTGTTCCCCCAATTGCTTCAACCCTTTGTTTTCATTTTCATTAATTAGTCAACTAATATAAAAGGTTGATGATACAACTTCAAGTAAACTACTGAAAGTGCCAATGACAAAAACCATTCATGAATGGTCGACCCCAGGTGCCTGCAAGGGTCCGTAGTGAAAGTGTACCCCGCCTCTCACCCGTTATCAGCTGGGACTGGCTCTGGCCCCCCTGTGATCTAACACTTAACCTCTCTGGGATTTGTTGTTAGTAAAAGAAGAGCAGAACAAAATATCATCAATCTAAAATGACGAGTCTTAAAAATGTTCATACATACTGAATATCAACACTGATTATATTCAATTCATGTGAGCCCAGATATCTGCATCTGGGCCAAGAGGAACTATGTAGAGCCAGGGCTGGATCGGCACAAGACCAGCAGGTGATCAGGATACAGGCCTGTGCTATCTAATAATAGCTGTTATATTCCTGTAGTTTGGGGTTTGTGCCCTCTCACACCTTCATGTTGACTGTTCCAGCTGCAGTTTAGCATGGATCTTTTTGCTGAATGTCCTTGACCTAGACTAAATCAGCCTTATTCTTGGCATCTGTGTTCCCACTCAGATCAAGTGTTAATTGATATAAGTGTTAAACTGCGTCACAGTTTCCTGTTGTATCCAGCTCATTTGTTACAGCACAGCTCTATCTTTCTCAAAGTTACTGCCACTGCATTATCATTCTTACTGTTACTGTACATGCCGTCCTTTGTGTGTTTCATGTAGTTTTTCACTGTTCAGGCCTGTTTACGTGCAGCAAAAGTCACATTTATTTAATTTCTGGATCCTTTCAACCACACACTCAAACTCATGTAGAGTCAGCAGCCCACACAGATTTAACTTAACGTTCCAACAAGTTACACTGATGCATGTAAATGTACTGAAATGAACACAGGACCTTTTTGCTTTGATCATCACCCTGCAACACAGCTACCTATTGTGCCACCTCATTTTCAAGAACTGCAGCCCCTGTTGTCACCCCAGAGAGTCAACGACCGACCAATCTTAAGTAAAGGTTTGAGCCTGAGCCAGTGTAAATCAGGTGGCTCGGTCTGAACAAAGCCTGGGAATCAGTGCAAGAGCCATCCATCCATCCATTTTCCTCCACTTATCCGGGACGGGGTTGCGGGGGCAGCAGTCTAAGCAAAGATGCCCAGACTTCCCTCTCTCCAGACACTTGAAGGCAGTGCAAGAGCATCAACTCTTATTAAATCAACTTTAAGTCATATTAGGCTGAGAAAAGTATCAAATACAGTGGAAGGTACTCTCTTCACAAGCCAGTATTTTTTGACTCAAAAGATTATTTGATGACCACAACAGTTGTGGATGCGCCTTCTTATTTTGATTTATTATAAGCCAACACCAGAGGTGCAACTAACAGTGTTATTCATTATCGATTAATCTGACGGCTACCTTTTCTGCAGTCCATCAAATCAAAACCAGTGAGGACAAGAACTGGCCTGAGCCCAAGGCGACTAATGTTCCACACTGCCAGACATTCAGTTCATTTAAAGCAGAGAAAAGTTGCAACTCTTCACATTTAAGAGACTTGTGGTGGTTAAATCAATGCACAGAGAAAATTACTGCAGTGCCAAGAATCATTTATTGAACAATATTATTGAAATATGATTGAGAGGGCAGGATACAGGATCACCTTGTTAGTTTTTAGTCTTAGTCTCTCTGCAGAGGAAGTCAGGTAGTCTGCCACACGTCTTCTCTTCTCCCTGGGTCTTCACGCACACGTGCGCCTGACCAACTCTGTTGCCAAGTTTATTCGCATCTCTCACTTCCTGTCATTGTTCCCCCAATTGCATCAACCCTTTGTTTTCATTTTCATTAATTAGTCAACTAATATAAAAGGTTGATGATACAACTTCAAGTAAACTACTGAAAGTGCCAATGACAAAAACCATTCATGAATGGTCGACCCCAGGTGCCTGCAAGGGTCCGTAGTGAAGCTGAGATCATTACGGTTGTCAAACAAAGCCACTGACACAGAGCTTGGGGCTACAGTATCATGTTACTTAAATTCATGAAATCCTACAAAGCAGATCTGAAGATAGTTCAACATGGGAAATGTAGAGCGACGTTCCACTGTTCAGGACTCGTGCTAAACTGCTGTCAGTTCACAGAAACGACTCCTGTGTTGACGATTACACTCGCGCTCCCTCTACAAGCCCACTGAGTTTTTTGTGAAGTATGTCAAAAGACATGATAGTGATGTTCATGTTAATGCTGAAGCAAAGGCAACTGTCCTCCCCCGTTCCTCTGCCCCTTCTTTCATCTCCTCCATCACTTGTCTTCCCTCAACTTTGTCCCCTCCACCCTCGCTCTTAACCCCTCATTCTGTGCTTTTATTCTCTCTTCTTCAGCTGCCTCCTCCTTCTCTCTCTGTCCTTCATGCTGTCTTTATTCTACCACTTCATCTTCACTTCTGTAACGTGCAGCGCACCTCTCCGTTCCTCGACTTTGGGCAGAGGAGAGCTACAGAGTGTGGGTAGTGTTGGTGCAGCAGAGTACTTCCAAATGTGTCCATCTGCCAAGGAAGAGGAGGAAGAGGAGGAGGAGGAGGAGGAGGAGGGGGAGGAGGCCACAGAGCATGTGTCTTAATCGGTCCAAGATAAACGTCCGTCACACTCTAAACCTCCACCGATCACATGTTGGCGCACGCACACAACAGATACATGGCAGCATCTCTGAATGAACTCAGCCAGGTGGACATTTACCCTCAGAGTTCAAGTTAGAACCAGGAAAAAAGCCGATATATGAAGCGCACATACTGCATACATGCACATTTGCATGCATTTGCAAAGTGTCTGGGGGCAACCATAGCAACGGTTGCTGTGGCTACTGTAGGAGTCTTTTTGATGGCATGTTTCCCAGGGGAAACGTCATACACCATCGCGCGTGGGGGATGGTGGGACGGGATGCATACTGGACGTTACCTACAGTACATGAAGGCATGTTGTATGCTGTAAGGGCTCTGAGGACACTGGGTGCATTCAACCCATCAGCAGTGACTTGTTTAAAGGGTAAGTTCACCCAAATTACAACAAAAGAACATTTCTCACCTATCTCTCAATATGCAGTTTTATTAGTCCAGGTTCCACCCCACTTCAACAGAGGTATGGTTTAGTTTGTGGTGGTCTCTGAATGGAAAAACTACATTAAAACAAGTCTACAACTACACTAGCTGCACGGTGAGGCTCTACTTGGGCACAGTGGAGCCTAAGTGAGCAAGGGTTTCATGTCAACATGGTATCATGCTCACAATGAAAAGGCAGACACAGTGAATATTAGCAGGTACTGCATAAGAAATTACTATAAAATACAAAGCAGAGTTGAGCCTGATACGAATGCCATTAGTTTTGCAAGTACTTATTCATAAACCAAAAAACTGGGCACATTAACATTCCTGGAAGTGATGCTGAAGGTTCTAGTTTTCTTTATGCAACAAGTGTCAGTCAGTGTATTTACGTGCTATACTTAAGTAAGAAGATCATTCAGAGAAACTACAGCAGGTTACACAGGTTATCAGAGAGCACATTCACATACAAAACATGGTTACTGTAAATCTGTGTATACCTGCAGAGGATCAGTAATCAGATTATTCCCCCACCACTCGCCTGGCTTGCTGATTTTAACTACTGATGTTAGTGACAGAAGGTGATACTTTCAAAATGTGCGTTTTTTAAATTTTGTCTGTGCCTTGTGTCAAGTTTAGTGGCAGCAGTGTAACCGTACACACATTTGCTCACCTCCACTGTTTCAGGTTAAAGGCAGAAATATAAAATGTCAAAGCCTGGCAAACAAAGCCACAACCATCAGCACTGCCAGACACTGCTAGACACATGTGAGTCATTTCTTTGTAATTTGGGTGAACTGACCCTTTAAGGACAACTCATCTTGATCTTCATCTCGTCCGGTAGAGATGTGGAAGAAATCTGGTGTGATTCTACTTTGCACTTGATTGATGCATTGCTGATGCATTCATCACCTTGGATCCTGTGACACTGTGCATCCTTCTCATTCACACACACAAACAGCCATCCTGTGCTCACCTGGGTTGGCGCTGTGAAGAGTGAGCCCGTCGAGCCTCCTCCCCCAGCCGGCTGAGGGAGGGTGACCGGCTTCTTGCCCCCCTCCCCATGGTCCGGACCACCACGTTGCCATTGGGGCTGCCGCTGGGCATCTGCTGGAGCAGCTGGGGTGACAGGCTGCGATGTAATGCTGAGGAGCCAGGCTGCGAGAGGCCCTGCTGGGGGGCCCTGTGAGTGTGGGGCTGGGTGAGTTGGTGCTGCTGCAGATGGGGGGCCCAGCTGCTAGGAGACCCGCGCTGCTGCTCCTGGTACTGACTGACTGTTAGGTTGTTGTCGCTGTTGGAGCGCAAGAGGAGCCGTGGAGCTGAGAGCGAGGAGGGGGACCGGCTGTTTCCGCTGCTGTTGCCAGTAGATGGACCCCGGCGGCGTTTGGAGTAGGCTGGAGCCTCACGGAAAGGCACTGCAGAGGAACGAGGGACAGAAGAAGTTAATCTTTTAGAAGGTTAGCACTTCATTTTCCCAGTGTCTTTGGTCTCTGTCAACCCGATTACACATTAATCTAGTTGAAGTTTAAGCTGTGGCTAAAAGGACATAAGGTGGTAGTTGATGTGAGAGTGCTGAAAAGAGTTGAGGTGCAGGTGTTCGGGAACTGATGGGACACAGTGGTGTTAAAGGTTTGTCCTTCAAAAAGGACAGAAGAAATCTTGCAGGCTTTTCTGAAGAAATGACAATATTTACATAAATTTGCAAAAGAAATGTACAAAAATGTTTTCAGGAGAATTTGTGTGTGTTTGCTTCTGCTGAAAATTGCACGTGACATTTTGAAACAAGGTAAATGTACTGACAGTATTTCCAGGGGAGTGGATATTTCAGCTGTGAAACAGCTGCTGAAGTTGGCAGGTGGCAGCTGAAGTCGCCGAGCTCTCAACCACCAGCGAAGAAAATGTGACACTGACCTTGGATCAAAGCTAAATAACAACATTTACAGCATTTGTCCATGTGACTTGACCCAGTGTAAAGGTGCAACTGCAGCTGAGCTCATGGGATTCAAAACCAGTAATGCTGCTCTTTCCAGCTTTAGCACTGCTCTACAGTTTAACTGCTGCACCACTAAAACATGATTATACCACAGGCTGGCTTCAGCACTGAACTGTTCTTTTATTTTAGGAATAAACTCAAAGTGCTGCAATATGTTTCTGTTATATACACCTGCTTCTCTTGTGCAGGGTCACCGGGAGCTGGAGTCAATCCCAGCACACAACTTCGGCAACAGTATGAGTGCTCATCAACACACGTCTAGCACGCACACAACACCTGTTTTAAAATCTGCTGGAATAAATGTTAGGATTCTGTTACTGATCTAGGGCTAAAGCGCATGTAAAGCATATGACTTTAAAAAATATACAATTTTAAGTCACAACGATTTACATGCAGAGTGACATAGACCTACTACAGTAAACCTGCTTAAACTTTTATACAGCAGGCTGACATGACCACAAAAGCATTGTACTGCTGTCCCTGATCTACAGCAGGTTAAGTGCTGTTCACAGTGCAGACACACACAGTGTTGTTGTGTTCATGCTTCATCCTCCTGTCTGCGCTGCACCTTGTGTGTGTAGCTAAGTCCTGTCCTCAGTGAAACAGACACACAGCCCTGAAACTGGATGCACTTCAGCTCTTAGATTACACCACAGACATGTTTAAAAAAAAAAGAAAAACCTACTGTATGAAAGGAACAGAGCCATAAGATCCTTCTCCGTTCAAAGAACTGCTCTTCCCGTCTTTAGTCACAAATTCCAATCTCACTTAGAAAATACCAGTTAAAAATGATTTTGTTCTCCAGCGGCCTTCACCATTTAAGGTCAGTGTTAATTAGGGGTGTAACAACTGTCCACATCCACAGTTCACTTCATACCTAGGTTTGATTTCTAGGTTTTGTTAAATGACAAACAACTTGGAGCACTGAAGAGACAAATACTAAACACTGACTTTAAACAGAAGCAGTGCAGAGCTGTTCCTTCATTGTCTGTCTGGAAGGTGATGGACTCCATTCAACACACCCGTTTTATGTGGAGACCACCGGAGTTGTTATTAATAGACTGCCTGACTGAGAGACTACATGTATTTCTGATGCTGGTGTGGATTATTGGCTGTGAAGACAGCATGAAGCAAGCTGGAGAAAGGGTCGGTAATAGTTGCCTTTTCAATAACACACGTCTATCAAAGCCATTTCCACTGAAAACCTTGTGCACACTGCGATCACCGCTGTCTATCACAGGGAATAAAAGAATGTAAAACCTGCACAGCAGGAGTCTCCCACAGTTACGTGGCTATAACTCCAGCTCTCTGAGTGTGCAGCCCCCGGCTTCCATGTAACGAAGTGAATAAAATAACGTAAATACAGCACCTGAGGGGAACATAATTAAAGCCAATCCAGGCTGACCATGTATAATATATCAGTCTTGTGAAGTCCAACACCAGACTACAAATTAAAACACATACCAAAGGTATACAAAATGACTGCAGTTAACCCTTTGCATCCCAGCATAAGCCATCAGCATGCTGTGCTGAAAGAAAGTGCAAGTCAGCCTTTGAATGCCACAGGGAAGGTGATGGAGAAGACATATGAACAGCTCATACCTTGTGCTCTGATGTGCTATATTTTTCTCTCAGTGATGCAGACTAGCTGGAAGACCATGTACCCACTTGCATGTCTGTTCATCTGTCAGCCCAGCCACCCATCCATCCGCCGCCCTTTGCTGTGCCCCTGTTCTTCTGTCATTATAAGCCTTGTCATTTTTTTCCTCTGTCAACAGGCCAAACTCTGATATATTAAAACCAATATGGGATGTAACTGTTTCTCCCATACAGATAAGATGTGTGATTGGCCCTGGTTCCACACTCCACCTTGCTCTCCCTCTTTGACTATCGTTAGCATGATCATCAGGATTACATCTGAATCCTCTGCCCCCATTGCCTGCACTACACTGTTGGACTGAACCAGTAATGGAGGCTAGCCTTGATTTCCCTATGGATACATTCCTGCATGCCTCCAACAGCCAGCACCAGCTCTGTGCAGGAAGGGCAGGACAGGGCCTGCAGCCATTCCAGAGAGCACCTTCTCATTAGGAGCTGATTAATACAGTGGAACCAAGCTAACATTGTAGCGTGTTAGCTGTGCTGCAGTTCCTGCTCCTCGCTGCCTGAACATCTGAAGGGGGATTTACTGAGTCATTATCACTTTCCCAGACTAATATCTCAGACCTCCCTCTCTCTGTCTGCAGCAGACATGTTGATGATGAGGTGCTAACATCTAACGAGCTAGCACATTTAGGAGCTACAAGGCTCTTAGCATGTATCTCTGAGTTGTGTGTGACCCTGAAGCTGATGGGGCTGGTTTTAACTTCTGCTAAATACATACACAAATGCTTGCTCCCTCTTTCCCAGAATATCTCGCACAGAGTCACTGACACAAATTAATTATCAAGTAAAATGGGGGTGGGAAGTCAAAACAGCCAGATCTTATGTAACCACTGGAAAAGCAATCAGCGGCCTCTATATAATTAAATGTTCTTAAAACACACAAAGCATGTCAGAGGTCAGAGTGTGGAAGCACTCAGCCGAGCAAAATGATGGTGCTGACATTATGTACTCAGCTCTTACAGGACGACAGTTAAAATGCTGTTGTCTTTTAGTAATTCAGTGTTTGTCAGTGTGATATGTGCTTATAAAGTAAAATGAAGGTTCAGATCTGTACATTTAAAAATATTTCATTTCAGAGTCGGTGAACATTCCTTGCAGAAATCTCAGACAAACTGTCAACTCAAACCCAAACTGGCCTGATGGAAAATTGACGGAGGGTCGACCAGCTGTGTCCCCTATCAATAAAATGTAAGCAGTCAACCAAAACACACAGCCACCAGTCGAGACAGCCCTACAGACAGGGCAACAATCAATAATCAAGAGCTGCAGGACATGAGCACTGTAGAACCCAGTTGTACCTCGTGTAAACAATAAACCCCAGAAAACAACAGCAATGGTAGTTTGATCAAAAACACTTTACATTTACTCGAGCAGGGGACAGACTTTAAAGCTCCTCTCTGTTTTGTTTTCAGCCTAGAGGGTCCAGTGAGACTCAGAACACAGTGACACCATCAGCTGCTCCTAACTGCTCTTTGCCCCTCCCATCCTGTTTCCTAGCAACGCTGTAAACTACAGATGCCTGGTTGGGACAAACTGTACAAGATGCAGATGCAGCCCCCAGCAGGGCTAATTTACAGAGTGTACTTTGACAACACAAGGTGGAGAAGCTGGAGGAACAACAGAAGGGTCAGAATGGTTTGAATGATTTTTGTAATGGTCATATGAGTTTTAAAAGATGGTGCATTATGCAAGTGGCCAGTGGTCTTATTTGATATAATTTAAAACACTTGCTAAAGTTTCCAGCTGAAAATCACATGCATTAAGACTATACATTCAGTTGCTAGTTTATTAGATACACCTACTGTAGCTAAAGATCAGGCTAATCCAACAGCTTGTGTTCAAGGTGTTTCAAAGAGCACTGATTCAGCTTGATGATAGTTTCGAGGAACCTGCTGTTCAGCAGTGCTGTGTTACACAGAGAGCTGTTTCTGTCATTTAGCCTGGCCTCATAGATACAGATGGAGTGGACAAAATAACAGAAACACATGTCAGTATAGTACAACTTATTCTTGTTGCAGACTGTTATAAAACTGTGTATTGGTTTCAACTTGGTGTACCTAATAAACTGCCAATGGAAAATATGTTTAGTTGAAGTTTAAAGAAACATTCACACTGTCCTATTTTCATAGGACCTAAACTTACTGTTTGCTACAGAGTATGTACAGTCCAATCTAGTTTTTACAGTGTTTCTCATAAGAAAATGCTGAATGAAGGGATGTTACACTAAAGGGTGTTTAGCTGAATGGTGACTGACTTTGCTTTTGTTACTCTCGAGAATCATTATATCCCGGTGCACAGACTGCACACAGTTTGTTACCTTCAGATTTTTGTGACCTGGGGCAAAATCTGACACCATTAAAAATCTGAGATCAGACCTGATGAAGCATTCAGAAAACCTAGAGAACAGTCCTTTAACAGGTACAAATCAGTTACTCTAAGTTTCCGTTTTACAGAATATATGATTTTACACCATTGTTGCTGAGCTTATTCCATAGGCATACATGACAAACTATTACATAGCAATACACATATGGTATTTGAGAACTGAGGACTTGCAAGCTTTGCACTCATAATACAGACATCTCACTTATGGTCAATATACTGAGCTCCAATCCAGTGCAACAGCTCTATTAATCCAATAATACTACTTATTAGTGCTAATAGGTGCAAACAGTACTATAATATTATTACTAATATTAAACTCGGGTGTAGATTTTGCCCCCTCTCCACGCCTATAGGCTGCACAGCCCGCTGTGC